GGCTGTGTGTGAGGGGCTGTGGGGGGAGTCTGTGTGTGAGGGGCTCTGGTGGGGGTACTGTGTATGAGGGGCTGTGGTGGGGGAGCCCGTGTGTGAGGGGCTGTGGTGGGGGGAGCCTATGTGTAGGGAGGGGCTGTGGTGGGGCTGCTGTGTGTGAGGGCTGGGGGGGAGCCTGTGTGTGAGGGGCTAGGGGGGGATCCTGTGCCTGCCTGTGAGTGTGGATGCTGTATGGGACAAAGGTTGGGTGCCCCTGGTGCTGTGTGGCTCCTCCATGCTGAGTCAGGCCTGCAGATGCTATCCTGGACAGGTGTCTGCAGAGGCTGACAGACGGGGCCTCCCATCTGAGATGACAGCCCCTTTCCCTGGTGTGGTCCTCACAGAGCAGCCCTGGGGAACAGACCACCAGCCCCAGCTCTAAGGCTCACTCATGTCCCAGATGCAGCCGCCATGGGAGCATGGCCCAGGGGAGGGGACACTCTTACTCCCGACTGGGGTCTTTGGATCAAAGGATCTAAGCATTCAAACCTGAGCCCCATCCACATGCACCAGAAAGCACCACAACATGAAGGGAACGGTCCTCTGGCTCCAAAACACGGAGTGGACAAGGGGCCTCCTGCTCTCCTCTCAGAAGCAACAAGAAACCAAACTCTACCTTTGATGAAACCAGGAGACCTGTTAACCTGAGCTGCTTCGAAATGCAGTGATCGCCAGGACATGGGGGCAGCAAGGGGTGCAGACCACAGACCGTCTTCGAGAAGAAAACCTGTCACTCCGTCCAGGCAGGGAGCGGCTGCCTGGAGCAGGCTGTGCCTGGGCAGAGGTGCCAGGCAGAGGCGGAGAGGGACACCAAGCAGGAGGACGGTCACGCAGAGACGGCTCTGCTGTTTGCAAACTGTCTCCAGACAAGGCTGGCCCAGGAAGAACTCCGTTCATAGACAGAGAAGCAGAAACCAAAGAGGGCAAGCACAAGGGTCTACAGGAAGACCCTGCTCCTCGGGACGCTGAGGCAGGAGGATCACTGCATCCCAGGAAGCGGAGGCTGCAGTGAGCCTTGATCATACCTCTGCACTCCAGCTTGGGCCACAGAGCAAGGACCTGTCTCTAAAAAATAAAACTAAAAACATTTTAGCAAACTAAAAAAGACAGATTACTACACCAACTGTGCTTCAGTCTGGATACTACAATGTACCTAAAGTACAAATGGATTAGAGAAAACGAGATGGAAGACAGATGAGAGATCCAATGAATGTATAATCGGTGCCCCTAAAGAAAAGCCGGAACAATAAAGAGACCCTTGGAGCTACCATTCGACAGCAGCTTCTAAACATCACAGTAATTACAAAGCAGACTTCAGATTATAAACTGCAAGGGCACAACGGCCTCGGTAGAAGCCGACACAGAATGTTCCCTACTGAGAAACATCTTAGCAGTTGTTTCAAAAACAAAGAAAAGAAATCATTCCAGTAGCTAACTAAAACCATCTTACATGGCATAAAATGTGGCTCCCTCAGTGGAAACTGGAGCTGTGTCTACAAAGAGGCCAGAGTGTGTGTGGTCTGGAAACTTTTGTACCTAAGAGGACAACTGTGTACACATTTCTGCAAATCAGTGTCCTAGCCCTGCTGGCAGGGGCTATAGTGACCAGCCACAGAACCCAACGTGACCATCCGGAGTTCAACCAGCCAGGGGCGGGGAGGGGCCATTACCACCCACCATTTGAGACCCTTATCTCCCCTTGAAGCCTTCCCAGCAGGCAGCCTTGTCCCAGGGCCTGACTGCACTGCAGAGCCCACCTGGAGCAGATAGGCAGGAGCGACTGCAGCAGCATGGAGGGGCCTGGGGGGCAGGCGGGGGCTCTCAGCAACTGAACCCCTGGGAGGGCAGGCCGGGGACACTCAGGACCCTGGGGAGGGTGGAGTGGAGGCACTCACAGAAGCTGCTGTCTCTGCGCTGTGCTCATCTGGCTGAGCTCCGAGGACCGCGGCTTGCTGCTCTCCCTGCGTGGACAGAGAAGCCGTGTCAGTCAGTATCCAGCATCCCTGGACACCTTCCCGCGGGCAGATGCTGGCCCCTCCCTCTTTGGTGCAGACACGGTGGTGGCCTAAGGTGAGCAAACCATGGCAGAACCACAGGTACATGCCGCTCTTTGGCTGTGGAGGCTGGACCTGGACAAGGGGTGCAACTGCCTGCCAGTCCTGTGACCTCGGGCCGAGAGCTGCTCTGTGTGGAATCTGGTGACTCCCACAGCTCCTCCTGGCTCCGTGAGGTGTGGAGGGGGCAGTTGCCAGGAATACATCTCATGAAACACAGGGTCTCCACCCCACCTGCCTGGCCAGAGCAGGCCACGCAGACACCTCACACTTTGGGCCAAATGACCCTGGCAGGCAAAGCCAGTCCCATTCCTGCCACACATGCCACTTCCCAGGAAGCCCGAGTCACCCGCCCCTGCCTACGTGTCCCCAGGCTCTGTCTTAGAAGAAGGCACATGCTATTATACAGGGGGGGACCTGTGCCCGCCCTCCTGATGACTAAACAAGGGGACAGGGGAGCCAGCGAGCGCTGCAATCCCTGTGGACAGGTGGAGGAACCAAGAAGGTTTCCGGAGTGCTGCTGACTACTTCCTTTAGTCCTGGGATCTCCAAACCACCGTGCTGGGTCTTGACTCGGGGCACGGGCGGGCCAGGACACTCCCGTCTCTGGTGTCCACCCTAAGCAGGCACTGACTCCTGGTGGAGCGTCTCACCCTCAGGTAACCGTGGGAATTTTGGGAACTTGCCTGCGGGCTCACTGTGGTCAGCTGGCCAAGGTAGCCACCCACCTGGCCGAATGTTCCGATGGGACAGCGACCTGGGCCTTGAAAGGGAGGGAGAGGCTGCGGGGCCGCACCAGGTGCCTCCCCAGATCTGCCGTCCACACAGTGAGGCGGGACCCAGAGGACGTGGGGAAGGCGGAGCTGCAGGGTCCTCAGGCAAGCCCTATGCTGAGCCTCAGGCCAGGAGACTGGCTTTTATTCACAGCTCTCTTAAAACATGAATGACAGACATTTGGGGTCTGCTCCAAACAGCCCTCAGCACCCGCTTTCTTTTAACTCTAGCTCTGTGCTGACTTGGGGAGGGACTCAGTCCCCACCCTTCCTGCTCACACTGGCCGATGACCGCCGCTGGCGTCTCCTGTCCCCTCCGCCCGCTCAGAGCTGCAGCTCCATACATTCCAGGGACTCTGCCGGCACTGAGGACGCCTCCCCACGGCCTATCCTGGGCCAGCCTTGCCCCGACGCAGAAGCTCTGCCCCTCTGGCCGGCTGACCCCTCCCCATGTCCACCCCCGAGCGGCAGCTCCCTCACCAACTGCCCAGAGCTGTCCCGGGTCCCCACCCTTGCAGAAGCTGTCAGCGTGGGACCCCCTCCTCCAGGTGCATCTCTGGTGCCAGGGCGGAGCCCTCAGTGGGGCAGCCACATGCTGGGGGCAGGAGACGTGGGCCTGGGTCCAAGGCAACCCTCCCAGTTGGGGATACCTCAGGCCGTGTAGCTGTACCCTCACTTGTGAGAGCTGAAATGGCAGTAGGGGGCGGGACTGATGCCTCCCAAGGTTCCAAAGCACAGAAGCTGCACCCAGGGTGGCTGCAGTGCCCACACGGCCAGGCGCAGCACCTCCTCCTCCTCACCACAGGGACCGTCCCCCACCCTTGCATCCCACACCCCATCCTCCCAGTGGGGTTCCCGAGAGTTCAGGGCCCTGTGGATGGAGTGCTGGGCAGTTACCATCACAGGCCAGGATGACCCATGCATGGGGCAGCACTGGCAGTGACATGATTCTGTGAGGCCCAGCAGCGGGAAGCCACAGAGGATCAGAGCCTAGCTCCACCCAGTGTGGAACCTCATGGTCCCCGAGGCGCTCCCTCCAGGCAGGAGCAGTGACATCACCGCCACTCCACTCCTGGCATGGTTCGGGCAATCGCCCACGAGGCACATACATGAGGTCGAGGTCCGGAGCTTGAGGGGTCACCAGGGTCCCTCCCCAGTGGGAAGGGGAGAAGCGGGAGATGTGGCTCCAGGCTGGCAAGGAGGGACTGTCCACCCTCCAGCCTCCCCGGCCACTGGTGCTCGCCTGCTGACCCCTCGAGCCCAGAGCACATCAGAGTCCAAGAGCAGAGGTGGGTGGGGCAGAGACCTGCCTGTCGAGACCAGGGGCAGTTCCCGGAGACACGGCCACCGCCCAGGCACACGGAGCACCAGACCCAGGGCCTCATACCTGCAATACCCAGAATGGGGGTCCCTAGAGAAACAGCAGACTCCAGGACTGCCAGGAGAGGTCCAAGAGGCACCGGGGGCACCTGCTGGTGCTAGGCAGTGAGAGGGAGCTAAAAATACAACCCCCACCTGGATGGGGCATGCCAAAGGGAGCCAGGAGCAGCTGCAAGAATTCTCTACAGCCAACACTGGAACAGTTTTGGCACCAAAATCAAGGAGCACTGGATTGCAGCCCCGCGTGTAAGCGAAACATCCTTTGGTCCAGAACAACAACGATGCACAACCGGTACGTAGATGCCTGCGTGGAGAAACCAAGTCCCTTCCTGGCAGAATTCCAAACAAGCTCCGCAGCCGCTGTGTCTTCCAGGAGGTAGAGCACAAGCCCCACCCCGAGACGAGGGCTGCACAGAGTGACTTCCTTCCAAAGGGACAGCATGGAGGGGGAGCCTTGCCCCACAAGGGCCAGGTCAGCCTCACAGCGCTAAGTCACGCTGACGGGGCGTGCCTGATAAAATGGGTGACAGTGGCACCTCTGGGGGCTTCCTCCCCGAACCCAGTCCCTTCCTGTACCCACAAGGAAATCATCAGACAGGTGCCAGCTGAGGGACAGCTTCCTCACAACAGTCAAGGTCACCAAAACCAAGAAGAGTCTGAGAAACTCACAACCAAGCAGGGCCTGGGGAGCCGAGATATCCGAGCGTCCCATGCGATCCTGGATGAGACCCTGAGGCAGAAGGGCCATCAGGGAAAAATGAAGGAAAGCTAAGGTGTGGGCTTTGGTTAACTCTTAATTACTTCATTAACGCTCACTACTTCTCTGTCGACACTGGTTCCTTAAATGTGACAAGCGCAGCACACCAGCATAAGAGGAACAGCCACGGGGAGTTCAACCAGCCAGGGGCGGAGGAGCTGCACGGAGCTCTCGGTACCATCTCTGCCATTTTTCTACAAATCTAAAACCCGTCTAAAATAGGGCTCATTCCAAGAGCTCCCCCAGGGTCAAGAGGCACTGCTGCCTGAACCGCATCTGAGGAGGGACGGGGACCCCCGAGACAGGAGGCTCTTAGGGCTGACAGCAGATGGGGCCCTGACCCAGGCCCCACACGGGACACAGCAACCCTGCGGCAGGGCACATCCTTCTCGGCCTGGGGCCGGGTGTTTACACAGCCCTCTCCCTTCTGGATGCTCCCAACACATTTTTCAGATGAGAAAACTGAAAACTGGGAAAGGATACTTGACTAGGGTCACATTTTTGTTCAAGAACCAAGAATGTTCAGTCATCACATCTCCACTCCAGGCCACTGCTCCTAGCCTGGACCCAGCGCTCTGGGTGCTTCTGCTTCAGAATGCCGGCCTGGAGCTGCTTGGACCTGCCACCCCGGGTGTGTTACTGCCACCCCGGGCCTGGGCGGCTGGGCCATGGAAGGATGACCCCAGATCTGACACTGCACTCAGCCCCTGCTTCCTCCCCAGATGGAAAGTCAGTAGGAGAAAGAAAGTATCTTCAAAAAGGCAAAATTAGAGACGACATGAATGAGGAAGGCCCAGAAGCTGAGACAGGACGGAGCGGCCCGGCCTCTTTCCAGCCACCCCTGAAAGGTGGGCTGTGGCTCCACAGCCCCGGGCCTGAGCCAAGCCTCGGCACCCACGCTGGGCGGCGCCTCCCAGCCACTGGGGAAGGGTAGAGGCTGTTGTCCCTTCACATGCATGTCACCCAGGCACAAAGAGCCTGAAAGAAAGCTCCTGGGAGACAGGCGCCACAGGCAGCAGCTTATCGGCAGGCCACGTCCCTGAAAGGCCACAGGGAGGGTCATGCAGCTGCAGCCCTCCTGGCTGAGCCACCCTGGGGCACACACGCCATGGCAGGCTAGCAGGGCCACATCCATGTTGTCAGGACACACAGAACCTGCCACTGACAGATGGTTCACTGGGTGACAGGGGTCTGGAGGGAGCATCTCGGCGCGTCAGGAGGAGGCTCATACCAGGGACCAGGCCTTGCCCAAGGCCGGGGTGTGGGGGCCACACTGATGTCCAGGCCCAGGCCCAGGCCAGCTGGCTTGGCTGCTCATGCACAAAGGACCCAGAACCCGCCATCCCAGCTCTCAGCAGGGGGCAGGGGAGGGGCACTGTGATGCCATCAGCCAAGGGTGAGACAGAAACCTGCCTCTTCCCTGAAGAACAAACCACATCCAGACCTGTGGCGATACCAGGTGGCGTGTGCCTCCCGCACAGGCAGGTACAGCTTGGGAGAGCAGCTGCACTCACACCAGGCCCCGTCCCTCCTAGGGAGGACGCATGAAGCAGATCCCACCCACGAGGACAAGTTCCGGGAGGCGTGCACCGGGGGCCAGCATGTGTGGGTCCCACACGCTCACCCCGCCCGACACCAGGCCACCCTCCGTGGGACAGAGTGAGGGCAGGACAGGGTGTGCAGTGTCAAGCGGGTGTCAGGGAAAAGTCCACTTAGGAGGGGAGGCTGGAGCCCCCGTCAGACTTGAGGGAAGGGCATGGTGGATGCTCAGGGGCCTCAGTTGGGCACAGCAGGGTCTCTGTGGGGTGGAGGCTGTGGCAGAACAGGGAGTTGGGGAGACCCCCAGTGGGACCTGGCAGGAGCTGTGGCCGATGTGGGGGGGGAGGGGCACACGAGGGAGTTGGCGTCAGCAGAGCCAGGCTCCTCATGGGGTTGGGCCCGGGTGTCCCAGAAACGTCCCTGACAGACCCCACCAACCTCACGAGCTCAAGCCAAGGAGCAGGGTACCTGTGTGGATCACCAGCTGAAGCCCCAGCTCAGCCTCTGCAGGGTCACGAGCCACTGGGGCCCGTGGGGCCCGCTCACACTCCTCCACCTCTGGACCCAAGTCACCCCCAAAGCTCGGACAGGGCCGCCCCTCCCGGACACTCACCTGCGGGCCTGGCGCCGGCTGCCAGCCTCGAGCCCCAGCAGCTCGGGCAGAGCGTCCCTGAGTGGGCGCAGGTCCCCCACCACTGCCGTGGCCCTCCGCCTCTGCTCCTCCTTGTGCCTCTGCTCAGCCAGCTTGATGGCTTCGATTTCTGAGGAAGGAAGAATGGCCTTAGAGGAAAGCAAGAGGCGAAGGGGAGTGTGGGTAATCCCCCCATATAGGCACCGAGGAATGAGAGCTAAGCAGAACCCTGGCACAGTTAGGGATTAAGGAATATCTCACTTTACAGTGTTACTACTCAGCTATTTCCTTTTATATAAGCCTTTACATAATCATATATTAGTTTATAGAAATAGGGCTTCAAGAATCCCTTGATATAATCCTCTCTATATCATCATATAATATTTGATAGTGTAAGTACCTAAAGAATATTTCCCTACATATATACCTACATTTTAGTTCATACTCAGAGGAATGCCTAGAGTGGACACAGTACAGAGCATGAATTAAGGAATAAGCAGCTTATAATCAGAGGAATGCCTGGAGCAGGCACAGTGCAGAGCATGATTTAAGGGAAAACAGTTATACCAGGACAAGAATCCATGGCCCAAGCAGCAGCGTTCAGTATCGTAAAGATACCCGCTGTATGGCAGGCTTGGGGCGAGAGCCACTCCTCCTGATAAAGGAGTTGTAGGACCTTGCTCCAGTTCTTGTGGAAGGCTGCCCTCAGAACGGCAATCCACCTTGGTGACTGTGAACTTTATCAGCTCTTGCTACTGTGCTGCTTGAAAAGCATCTTCCCATAGAACACATTGGAAGCTGCCAGAAGGTGGCGGTAACCTTGACAGCTCTGTCACTGCTATGTGACTTAAAGCATCCTCCTATACAACTTCTTAGAAGTAGTTTTCCCATAGATAGAAGTATTGCACACCGCACCCTCTTCACTGCGCACGGCCCACCTTCAAGCCTCAGTGACCTAATGGGGGTGGACCCCTTACTGCACACGGCCCTTGCCTTCAAGGGAACGGGCCCCTTGCTGCGCACTGTCCACCTCCTGGCCTAGGTGACCTAATGGGGGTGGACCCTATGTTTTATTGCTCACGACCCTATCACTATCCTTAAAGATGATTTCACTCACTGCCCTGCCCCCTAACCTATACACAATAAATACTCACGCTTCTGGACATTCAGGGCCTCACCAGCCTCGCCTGACTCTGCTCATAGGTGGCATGGCCCCCCAAGCCCAGCTGCATTTTCTTTGTACTTCTGTGTCCTGTCTCATTTCTCGGATCCTGCACCTCAGCACAGCATAAGGCTCACCCCACGACCCTGTGGGGCACTCAGCCCTACAGGAGAGCCCAGGCCCAGAGCCCCTGGCCCACGAGAAACCTGGCTGGGTGCCCAGCCTTGCTGCCATTCTCCTTCCCACGGTCACCCCCATTCTGCCCCTGGAAACCTGCAGGTGGGGAGGCTTGAGTTATTTTTTCCCCCTTCATCACAGAGCTGTGCTTTTTAATCGCAGGGCTGACTACAAGGTGGAGCGCAGCCACTGAGGATTTCTCCTCCAAAGGGACATGGGCAACACCAGCCGGGGCATGCGATGGGGGTGCACATAGGCTCAGAGCGGGGGGCAGAAGGAAAATGAGGAAAATGGGCAAGTCACTGCCTGGGAGGCTCAGCTGTGTTCCCAGGAGGGAGAGGGCTCCCCAGAGGGAAGGGGAGAAGCCCCAGGACAGACCTGAAGGCCTGGGGCCGTGGGGGGTGGCAGGCAGGACTGAGGCCTCCACGCTGGAGAAGGGATTTGGGCCAGGTCTGGACAGAACGGGCATGGCCTTGGGATTTGATTTCATTTAAAAATGTATTTGTTGAAAATTGCTACGAGAACACATGCTCAGACACGCTGCTCATTGCACATGGCTCCTGGAGGCTGTGAGCCAGGACAAAGCCTGCTCTCTTCGGGGCAGCCCAGCAGGACAGGCCTGCAGCTTAGGCACTGCCAGCTTGTGCACAGGCCCAGGCATGGCAGCACCTGAGCCTCTGTGGGAGGAGTGCCCGGGTTTCCAGAGGTGACAGCAGCCAGCTCCTCTCCAGTCCTGCTGTCCGGGACAGCGGCACCCCTCTCATCACACAAAGCAGGTGGCTCACAGAGCAAGATCTGAAGGGCCCACCCTGACCAACCCAAAGTCAGGAGATGCCACCCTGCCCTGGGTCCCTGTAACAGGGTGTGATTACCTGGCCCCAAATCACTGACAAGAACCTGGGACAAAGACGACCCTTACTCTGGGTCGTCACTCCTCAGTGCAGGGTGAGGGCTTGGACGGTGTGCACCAGCTCTCCACAGCCTCAGGAATCATGAGGGTTTCTACGGTAAGGATCCAGTGCTTGCTCCATCCTGCCTGGACTTCGGTAGACACGTTACTCGACACCTCATCAAAAAGAGAGCCAGGGCACCCTGGAAGCCGGGGAAGGGAAGGGTGGGCCAGGCCAGGTCGCTCCTTCACAGGCTACAGATCCAGGCCAGGGAAAGCAAAGCAAGAGGCCTGTGGCTCCCGTGAGGACAGACACAAAGGCCTGGGCCTCAGCAAGTCAAAGCCAGAAGCCTTTCAGAAGAATGACACCTTGTGCCAAGCAGGGTGAGTCCCAGGCATGCAAGGGCAGTTCCCCCAGGAAAGCCTCAGGGTGACGCTCCTCAGGGGCCGCTCAGAGGTGAGAAAGCCTACGGTCACCACCACCACCACCAGTATCTGCGAGGTTCTGTACGATTCGCTGCTCACTCAAGACAAAAATGACAATGAAACCACAAACAGAAGGCACTTCCTTGACGGAGATTAGCTGCTAGAAACTGACAGTGAGTCTCACGTTTCACGGCAAAACGTCAGACACTCAATGATACAACATAACAAGAAATGATGACCACAATATCAACAATCCCATTTGGCCTGCTCAATTCTGAGGTGGGGGAGCGGGGAGGCAGTGGGGGCAGGACCCACACCGTGGAACACTCAGCACTGCTCTCATCTGCAGCACCTGGGGGAGGCCCACACAAACAGCAGCTTCCAAGTAACCAGGAGGACCAATGGGAGAGCGAGGTTCCTCTCAGTCACTCACTCCAAAAAAACCTGATGCTGCCTCAATTACAATTTCGACAGGATTTTTAGTCAAACCGGTGCAGCTAATTCTACATTTTAATTTTTTTAAAAAAATTAAACGCATAAGAATGAATAGTAAATACATTTTTTAAAAACAAGAAAGCAGGGCTATCACATATTAAAGCAAATTACAACAGAAATTCAGTGTGGCAAATGTGCAGATGAACACTCAGGGGACCCAGGGCAGGCTGTGGGCGAAGTGTGAGCATAACACATGACACTTTAGATAAACTGGGTCCTCCTGGGGAAAAAGCTGGATTCCTCTCTCACGCGGTTCCGAAAAATCAGTTACGTATGAATTAAATACTAAAAGCAAAGAAGAATCAAAGGCCAAAAAGTATAGTAAGAGCCACTTGACTTGATTAGAAATCAAGGAAAAGAAAATCACAACTACAAAATACCATTTTCCACCTCACAGACTGGCAAATCTTTAACTGTTTCATAATGTCAAGTGTTAGAGGATCTGGGAGCTGCTGGGTGGATGTGAAGCAGCCTGGCCACCTAGGAGGACAGCGTGGGATGGGAAAGTTGAGCAGGACATGTGTGCTTCCAGCTACCCACCCTCCAGCCCATAGGATGTGGGAGCCACTGCCCGTGGCATGGCTGGGGCACAGGCTGTGTGGTGGAACATGGGGGCACCACCTGGGCACCGGGGAAGTGTGTGGATAAGACAAAGCAAAGTAAGGGATGGAGAGTGACCGGAGAGGCCTCCAGGAGTGGAAGGGCACGGGAAGCGGGGGACAAAGTTTGTGAGCTTGTTCTCACAAAGACGAGGTGGGGGTGGCACATTCAGATCCACAGGGGAAATTTCAACACAAATTGAGGAAAAAAAGCAAATTGAAGGAAAAAAAAATCCATGCACACAGAAAATATGCATTTCTAAAGATTCTAAGGAATCTACAAAATGACTACCAAACCTAATACATGATATTAGTTAATTCATAGGATACAAGACTAATATTTTAAAGAACCAATTGTATGTAATATACTAGCAGAGAACTAGAAAAGAACTGAATTTAAGGGAGCATAAAAAACTAATAAATACTTAGCAGTAAGCTTAGTGTAAGATGTAAGACCTCTACACGAAAACGACACAACTGTGATGAAAATTGAATGGTGAGATGTAGCATGTTCATGGACCTAAAGATTCGCTATTGTTAAGACGGCAATTCTGAAGTGATCTATAGATTCAATGAAATCCCAATCAGAACTCTACCTGGTTTTTCTTGCTGTTTTTAAATAAACAGATGAGCTAATGGTAATTTATATGGAAATGCCAAGGACCTAGAATATCCAAAGCAACCTTAAGACAGATAAACCAACATAAAGAACTTACGTTATCTGACTTCCAGACTAATGTTAAAGCTACAGTCATCAAGACAGTATGGCATTTGCTAAAGTACAACAAATAGATCAATGGAACAAAGGACAGCCTAGAAACAGACCCTCACTTATGAGGCCATTTGATTTTTCACAAAGGCACAAAACAATCCAATGGGGAAAGACAAGTGTTTATAACAAATGGTGCTGGAACAACTGAATATCCATATTGGGGGGAAAAACGTAACTTAACCACTACCACCACACACACACAAACAAGAAACCTAAATACGGAGGCTTAAAGTATCAAGCTTTTAGAAGAAAACATAGGAATAATAGCTTCATGACTTGGGATTAGGCAAAATTTTCTTAAATAGGACACACAAACATATATACATACATATACACACAATAACTAAACTCAAAATTAAGCTCCCATTTATAAAAAAGAAAAAAAAGTTAAGAAAATGAACAGGCAAGTCACAGTCTGAGAGAAAACATCTGTAAAAAGCATATCCAACCAAAGACTGGACTCCAGGACAGATAATGAATTCTTAGAGCTCAATAATAAAAAGGCAAAAAGTCTCATGAAAAATGAACTTCACTGAAGCTGAAACGCAAATGGGCAGTAAGCAGACGAAAATGCTCCTTTGGTGGCAATGAAAATGAGTACCACCATGAGACACCATTTCGTGATCACCAGACGGCCCAGACAGGAGGCGACGCACCGCGTGCTGGCAAAGCTGCAGGGCAGGGAGAACTCGCACAGGCTTCTGGTGGGAGTGTGAGTGTACAACCACTCTAGAGAAACGTCTGGCAGCTGCTTGTAAAACTAAACATACACCTACCCTATGACCCAGCATTCCATTCCTCAGCATTTACCCAAGAGAAACGAAAACATGTCCACAAAAAGACGTGTAAAGAATGTTCATAGCAGCCTTATTCACAGTCCCTAAAAATGGAAGAAAGCCCAGGTGTCCATCAGCAGGAAAATGACTAACAAATGGTGTATTCATACAGTGAAACACTCCTCAGCAAGAAGCAGGCATGGGCTACTGCTACATGCAGCCTGATGAGCTTCAAAACCATTATGCCAGACAGAAAGAGCACACCCTACATGATTCCATTTATATGAGGCCCAAGGCAAGAAAACCTAAACTGTGGACAAAAAAGATGGCACACTGGTTATCACCTCTGGGGTGGGTGGGAGAGGTAAGTGGCTGGAGTGCACGGGGGCTGCTGGGGAATGGTGGGAATGGTCCGTAATCTGAATGGGATTTCAGCTGCACAGGTGTACACATTTGTCAGAGTTTACTGAATGACACACTTAAGATTTGCGTTTCATTTTACACAGATACAATCTTCAAAAGAAAAAGAAAAAAAAAAGAACCATGAACAAATATTGAACTCTAGCAGAATTATTTGGGGTGGAGTATCCTGAAGTCTGTAACTTACTTTGAAATGCATTTTAAAAAACCCATGTTGGCAGATGGACAGAAATTGCTAGATGAATAGTTATATAATAAAGATGGTAAAATCTGTGTGGTGGGTACAGGATACTCAGTATAAAATTCTTCCCACTTTCCTAAATAAAATTTTTCATAATAAAATATAAAATAAAAACACCTTGGGAAATGTAGCTAAAGCTGTATTTAGAGATAACACAGCCTTTCAGTCCTGAACAAAACACATGAAAACAAATGAGCAGAGCAGCTGAAACCTAAAGAAAGCTAGAAGAGAGAAGTGATCAAAATAAAAACTAATAATTTTGAAGACAAAAGAGTAGAATAATCATTAAACACATTCATTAATTATTAAATGGAAGAGACAAAACTTCTTAATTTAATCAGAAATGAAAGGAGGGTACAAATAAAGAATGATAAAGAAAATAGAATATTTAATGAGAAGGCAGCCAAGACATAAAGACTGAGACGTGACTAAATCTGATCATTCGTGTTATTTAGAGACAGCGGCCTGCTCGTGGTGCAGGCTGGAGGGCAGTCATGCAATCATGGCTCACTGCAGCCTGGAACTCCCATGCTCAAGCGAACCTCCCACCTCAGCCTCCTAAGTCACCAGGGCTGGTGGCTCAGAGGCACGCATCACCTAATCTGGCTAATTTTTATATTTTTTTATAGAGACAGCATCTTGCTATGTTGCCCAGGCTAGTCTCAAACTCCTGGGTGTAGGTGATCCTTCCACCTCAGCCTCCCAAAGTGCTGGGATTAAATGAGGCACCAACTCCAGACAAATCTGATCATTTTATGAGTGACCAAAATTGATCCAAGTCATGAAAAAGAAAAAAAAAGGACCAAGTGCCACGGAATAAAATTTACACATCATCAAAGAATGACAGCCTAGAAAATCAGAGTCCAAACGGCCATAGTCCAGTAGCTCGTCCAGACCCACTTTCACAGTTATGCCAGGAACTGTGAAAAAGAAAATGGAGGAATGAATCACTTCCTTAAGAAATACCCAAAAAGTGACAGAAGCCGTGTAACAGTAATAATCACGAAAGAAACTGACAAACTTCTAGGTCCTACCTCTGAAACACATAACATTTTCTTTAAAACCTTCAAGGAAAAAAATAGGCAGACCAGGCTTTAACATGTGAGGACATAAAAGAGAAAATATTCCAAATTAATTTCACAAAGTCAGCAGAATCACCCTAAAAAGATAACCAAAAAATGCAAAATAATATTGATGAGAATAATCTTTAGAAAAACATTGGCAAATACTCAACACCATGAAAAATAAGGAGAAACTCTAAACAACATGAGTGGGAAGCACAGCTTTCACCTGTGGAGACGGTGGCTGGGAGCACGTGGCAAGACCTACCTCGCACGTGGAGCCTCAGAAAAGAGGGACCTCAGGTCTGAAAGGGTCCGGGGACCCCAAGAGCCCTGCCCACACCCACACTGCTGTGCACAGACACTGTGTTTTCACCGTGGGCAAGGCCTGGACAGATTTCACACACCACTGCAGGCACTTCCGAACCACAGAGACTCCACAAGCACAGGTTGCTTCCATAATAAAAATTCACCGTGGGAACCAAAGATAGGGAATTTTTACAAACAAGGAGCCGAGAGCAGCAGCTTCCCAGGCCATCCTCCAAGGGGAGGCAGCCCAGCTCTGCAGGCGCCCACACGGGTGGGGTGGCAGTGCCACCTGTAACAGCAGACTGGCAGCTTGTCCATGCTGTCACATCTCCAAAGCCTCCCTCTCTGTGCCTCCACTATCCTTCAGCCCCCACCACAGCCTCTGAAGGGTCCTGGGTGATCCCCTTGGGCACCCTGAGGGGGGAGTGCAGCTGTGGGCACAGGAGGGCCCAAGGGATGGGACTTGGCCAGCAGCTGCCTCGAGACATGGGCGTGGACTTACTCTGCAACCATCGCTCACGCCTCAGCTTCATTTTCTCCTTCTTGGGCAAAACAGTCTTGGCCTCTGCACCTGAGGACAGAGAGCACAGGAGTGAACAAAACATGTCCAGGAGCACCCCCATGACCTGAGAATGGGCTGGGACGGGTTCAGACTGCGGAGCTGCCGCAGTCACAGCAACTGGTCTGGCCTGTGCCGGCCCCTCAGACTCCAGGGCACCTGCAGCACGGCTCAGCCTGGACTTGGGAGGCTCTCTCAGCAGCGTCCTCCTGTGGTGATGGCCTGGCCACTTACTCCTGGTCTGCCCTGGAAAGCGCAGGCAGGTGTCCCAAAGGGAGGCCTCCTCCCTACCATGACCCGAACGACTGTCAGGGCGGGCCACAGCGAAGCCACACAGGAACACAGGACAGCTCAGAAGGTGGCCGCAAACAGGGCAGAAGTGCTTATGGAGGCGTCCCCAGGATCCTGGGTCGTCAAGCAACGCCCAGTGACATACCTGCTCCCTGCCAGGCCCGATGACGTGCTCAGTGGACCAGAGGCTCCATGCCTGGACCCCGCAAAGCAGCTAGAAAAACACTCAGCTAAAGCCACATCCCCGGTGAGGGACAGATGACAAGGAGCCAAGATCAGGGCACTGCTGCCCCAAGACCCGCCCCTTGCACACAAGTGCTTCTGCCCAGCCCAGCCTGGGCCCCAGAACAAGGGAACTCTGCACAGAGGTGGCTGGCAGCTGCGGGGCACCTTCACCACCAGGGATCCCATCCCTGTCCTTGTACAGGGTCCCTGGCCCCATCCAGGCTTTGGGGGCCCCAAGAGCACTGAGCTCTCAGAAACACCCCCCTGGAGCGGCAAGGAGCCCAGCTGACGCTCTTCTGTGAGCCCGGCTGGCTGCCCAGCATCTCCCTCTGTGGGGGAAGCTTCCAGAACAAACAGCACTCCAGGCCTAACACCTCCCCCAGCACAGCCCCAGGCCTTCCCCAGACCACTAGGTGCCCCTTTTCCCACCTGTCCTGTTGTGTCTGGGCAGGAGTTTGGAGGGACCTTCTCCAGGACATGGCAGGAAAACAGGCACCCTCAGCCCTGCATGGCCTCCCCCAGCGAGGTACGTTCTGAGAACTGGGGACAGCTCCCCCTGACCTCTGTGAAGCCACAAACAGTGAGGAAAAAAGTCTCCATGGGGCTCTGGGGGATGGAGGCGCAGCGAGGCAAGGGTTGGCACCCCAGGGCACGAACTGAGTGCTGTGTGGGACTCACATGAAAGATGACAAGCCCTCGGCGGGGGCACAGACAAAACGGTGGCAGTGTCAGAGGGCCTCTGCCAAACACGGACGGGACAGCGCTGCCCCAGAACCTGGCCCTCACACGAGCAAGGCACCCTGGGATACTCGGGAGACCTCGGGCCAACCCTACTTAGCACCCACAAGGCATGTTATGTCCACCTCACCGCCACTGCTGTCTGATGAGAAGGTGAGCTCCACAAGCACAGAGATTTTTGCCTGTTTTTTCACCGCTGCCTTCCTAAGTTTAGAACAGGGCTTGGCCCACAGCTCTGAACCACAGGCCTCTCTGCCAGCAGTGTGTGGAAAGGCCTGCTGCCCAAGTACGCCCCCTCTGCCAGGGCAGTTCTGGCTCTCGGCAAAGCACCAGGGCATAGGCCTGGGGACAGGTTGCCCGTGCATCCACCTGGCTGACCTGAACACTCCTGGGTCCCCTCCTGCCAGCTCACCGAAGACTCACTCCTGTGGTGATAGCCGTGCTGCCCTTGCCGCTACCTGGGCAAAAATGGTTCAGGGTCACTCCCCCAGGCATCTCGGTTCGGTTCGGGGTCACTCCCCCAGGCATCTCGGTTCGGTTCGGGGTCACTCCCCCAGGCATCTCGGTTCGGTTCGGGGTCACTCCCCCAGGCATCTCGGTTCTGTTCGGGATCACTCCCCCAGGCATCTTGGTTCGGTTTGGGGTCACTCCCCCAGGCTATCTCGCCTGTCTTGTGGCTCCAAGCAAGGGTCATGGGATCCCAGCCTCTCACAAGGCTCCGACTTCCGGAACACACAGCATCCCCAGCCTGCTCCTTCTATGCTCAGCCTCATGATCACAGTGCCCGGACCCCTTCTCCACGGATTTCGGTTCAGGATTGCGCGTGCTTTCCAGTTTCTTGCTTTTTATTCACCTTGAGGCACAGACACCCCCGGCCTCCCATTTTGGAAGGCATAGGGGCAGTAGTGGCCAGAGGGTGCTTTCCTCTGAGTTCACGGGTCAGCAGGGCAGCCTTCAGCTCTGCTGGGGCTGCTGTCCCAGGCCTGGAACTTTCTACTGCACTTGCCCATCGTGGGAGAGGCTGACTCAGCATGGCCTCACACCTGCCTGGGGCAGCAGCAGCAAATGCTGCCCTGCCTGACAGCCCGGAAGGAAGGCACTGTGTCCAGAGCCAGAGCCTTCTGGACACAGTGCCTTCCTTCCGGGCTGTGGCCGCAACTGAGACCCCAGCCAAAGAGGGACCTGTGGCCGCAACTGAGACCCCAGCCCAAGTCACTGGCGATGTCATTGAGGGATCATTCAGGAAAGGCAGAATGTGCTGGACCACGGCACAACGCCTGATATGCTCAGAGCTAGGTCGAGGAACGCAGCTTTGCCTGCTCAGAACGGCTCCTTACAGCTTCCCGTCAGGGCTGCCAGCTCCCTGTGCTGGGTGTGCCCCCTCAGTGGAACCAGGCAAGAGGACGAAGGTCACTCCAGACGGTGAGGAAGGGCAGTGGGCAGAGGAAGGGCAGTGGGCAGTGCAAGGGCCCGAAATGCCGTTTGCACTGGGAAGGGCCCCGGACACCCCCACCAGACAGGATCACCAACAGGAGCCTCTAAAGCCCTGAGGAGCCGCCGGCTGGATCTCCTCCTGTGACCCTACAACATGGACACGCTCAGCGCCAGCTTACAGGCCCCCAGCTGTCTGGAATTTCTCTGCACTCGTGTCCTGTGAAGCAGGGAGCAGGAGTCTCAGGTTAAATCCTGAGCAACAGGTGGTTTCAACATCCTTTCACTGAATCCACCCACGCGGCAAGAGACCATTCTTCTTGGATGCTGGCTGCTCTGGGAGCCATCAGCCCACCCCACCTGCCAGCCTGGAGATGCATCCTGGCCTGCAACTAGGGTGCAGTGCGGGGCAGGGTGTACCCCTGCCTTCTCCCCTATCCCAGGACACCCCCTGCCATGGAAATGCAGGCCTTGGGTATCCCCCACCATGGCCTCACCTCCCCACCATGGCCCTCCTCACCTCCCTGCCGTGGCCCTCCTCGCCTCCCCACTGTGGCCCTCTCACCTCGTCCCCCACCATGGCCTCTCTCACCTCCCCAGAACGACCTGCCTGCACCCTCAACTGTTACAGGCTGATTTGTGTCCCCAAGTTCATGTGTTGAATCCCTTAAGCCCCAGAACCTCAGAATGTGACTGGATTCAGAGACAGGGTCTTTACTTGGCCCTGGCGTCCTTCTAAGAAGAGATGAGGACACAGACACGCACAGAGGCATGGCCCTGGAGGGCCACACAGAGGAGCAGTACCTGTGGAGGGCACTCTGCTTCTTGCCGGTGAGTGCTCTGCGTGAGGAGCCTGGCAGCCCGAAGCTCTCATGGCCGGCCCTGCCTGCCTGCCTGCCCTGCTGGACACCTGCTCGCCTGCCCACCTGCCCTGCTGGCCCAGGGCCTCCCTGCAGAGCTCATGTGCTCATTGCCCGGAGATGCTCAGGAACGTGGGCTCTGTTTTGGTCAGTTCTCAATCCTCCAAGTTAGCCCCTTTCAAGGTGAGAAAGCTAAGGCTCCGAGGGCACAGTGGCTTGCCCAGGTTGTGGGTCCATGCTGTGGGCAGGATGTGAAAGCGCCATGGCAGTTGGCCCACTGGATGCGACCACCCTTTCCGGCCTCGGAGACTCAGTGGCGGAGCAGCCTCGGGCGGGGCTCAGCCGGCACTTCCCCTGTACCCTGGGACCACACGGCTAAAGGAATCCTGGAGACACAGGATTTGGAAGTTTATTTCCCAAAATAAAACTGTAAACCAAGGTGTGGATACAGGTATAGCTTCTCAGAGTGCCAAGAAAATGCACACAGCCCACACTGCAGAGCGTGGAGCCTCCCAGGCCCCTGAGGACCACCCTGCCCCCAATGAGCACCCACACACTCCAGGGTGACGTCAGCTGGGCCTGCCCCACATTAACCCCAGCTGACTAACAGCTGGACAAAGATGGCCAGTCTGTGTTGGCAGAAACCACCGTGTAGACGCAGGCCAAAGTGGAGGGCCCTGCAGAGGCCTTGGCAGTGCCAGCTGACACGTGAGACAGCTCCGTGCCTCCCCTTCTCTGGGGATGGCCACAGTTCACACAGTGCCCAGACAGACTGGGGACAGCCAGAGGGGACGTCGCCCTCGGCCACTGCGGAACTTCCTGCCCCTTGGTGCAAAGGCGGGGCCCAGGACAGTGGGCGAGGGCTACACCCTGGGCTGCAGGAGCCCAGATGCAGGACAGAAGGGCTCTCTGCTGGCTACGGAGCCTCTCAGCGCCTCCACATCATCAGCTGAGTGGGTGGGACGCGATGTGGGCTGAATACCCGTCCCTCCAAAACTTAGGTTGAAACTCAGTTCCCAATGTGTCATCACCAAAAGGTGGGACCTTTACGGGCTGACTGGGTCATGAGGACTCTGCCCATAGGAATGAATTAATTCATTCACATGTTCATGGATTAACGGGTGAAAGGACTAACGTTTATCAGGGGAAGGGGACAGTGGCTTTATAAGAGGAGGAGGAGGAGAGACCCAGGTAGGCGCACTCAGCTCCCTCAGCGCAGGCTGCCCAGCGTGGGTTTGGGCCTCAGCAGAGCCGCCACCAGCCAGAAGGCTGGCACCAGATGCAACCCCTTAACTCTAGACTTCTCAGCCTCCAGAACCTAAGAGATTGATGGGACAGTGTGGCTTTCGGTGTGAAGTGAGTTTAGGACATAAATCCAGAGGCTACTGTCACCTCTTAGAAAGTCTTGCAACCCCAGGGAAAGAGGCTGCCTCTCAGGGAGCCCCATAAAGTGAACTCCACAGGTGC